GCTTACAATCTAGGAGTATATGGCATCGCTGTGATCGTCAAGAGCTGGAAAATTTATTTTGGGTTGTTCTTTGGTGGTAGGTTATGGTAGTAAAAAGAAACACAAAGCTAAATGAAAAAAATGGTTTTTTTTACTATTTTGGGCCAGTATTCCTTTGATAATAAACAAAAAAAAATCAGGATATATCCATTACTATTTACCACCAAATGAAAGCCCAATTTGTCCTGAAAAAAACGCGGTATAATTCACCTGGATGTGCAAAGTAGTTGTGATGCTATGGACGGTTTTACTAACACATGTCAAAGTTGCAAAATTGTGCTTAGGTATTTAGATTTGTTTTACCCTTAGGCATGAAGGGGTTAAAATGTAGTCATATTAGTGCATTTGCAACCCAGCTAAGTACTGTTTGTTATACTTTTCTTTATTTGCACTAACAGTTACATTTTCAGAGATCTTTCTTCTGAAATTCAAATGATCTTTTGAAAGTTTTGCTAATGTTTTCTGTATAATTACTGCCTTTGAAACCTTGTCCTTAATATCTAACTGTAAGCGCAAATAAAAGAAAAGTATAACGGACGTACTCAACTGTGTTTTTCAACTCAAACTATGCGTAAAGCTGCCAAAACTCTGGGAGAAGAGGAAAGTAGGAGGGAGGGGGGAGGAGGTGGTGCAGATTTTAGCTGCTCTTCCTCCTCCTCCTCCACCCTGTCTCCTTCATTGCACTATATAGATCTGCAAGGACTTGTGCTGAGCATTCTATACTAATCTCTGATCACCTCCACTGTCTGCTGCTCTGCCACACAGAATGGCGAGGAGGACATCTCCTGGAATGTGAGGAACATCGAGCTGCCTGCAGGCTGCATCTGAGAAGAGTGGACACTGAAGTGAGGCCAGAACTACACAGCCTATGTCTGGGCAATCACCTGTTAGAGGGGCAACCTGTGAGTCCACATTTCTGTCTGCACTAAGGGGGGGACTATGGCACGGGTGTCAAACTGGCGGCCCTCCAGCTGTTGCCAAACTTCAAGTTCCATGAGGCATCTTAAAGGTGACAGAAGCATGACTCCCAAAGGCAGAGGCATGATGGGACTTGTAGTTTCGCAACAGCTGGAGGGCCGCCAGTTTTACACCCCTGAACTATGGTATTACTTCTGGTGCTCATAACCAGGGATGACCGGGGTGTTCAGGTCCAAGCCTGATCCCATCAGGAAGTGGTCATCTGTACTGGGCCAATCATCTTCCCTGCCCTGGAGCTACATGTAAGCAAGGGGTAGGGAATGCCTTGACTACTTATGATTGGCCCAGAACTGGTGAAAGCTTCTGATGGGCTCACTCCGGTGGGTTTGGACCAGGATCTGAACACACTTGATTTCTTCCCTAGTCATTACACCATGGCAAGGCACCTGAGGTTTGGCTTTCTTCAAGGCTCACCATACATGTAAGACTACATGGGGGAATAGCCATGGTGCAAATGACAGTGGCAGGTAGTCGCTGGCTGTGTAAACAACCGCTTATTGCTGCGGCCACTGCTGCCCTGTCATTGAAGTGTACAGGGCTCGGCGGCTATAGCTAGCTGCTCTCAGGTGGCTAGTGGCCCATGTGAATGTAGCCTTACAATCTGCCTGCACAATCTTTGTACAATCAACTTTAGATTTTGTAAAACGATGTGGACCGACCTAATCTATCTGATTGATTTTTATCCAGTCAGGCAGAGCCTTGTACTATACGTTGGTAGATCTTAAAGTGTTACTAAACCCACAACAGTACAATCAGTCTATATATGCAGTAAAGCATGCTTGTTATACTCACTGTGGAACCTAAGGGGTTAATCCTCTGCAATGTGTAAAAAACGCTGTTTGAATCCTTCTTGTCTGTTCCTCCCTTTTTTCAAGCGACCACCACTTATCTCCAGACAGAACCATAGCCATGCACATGCTCAGTTTGGTGTGTATTGCTAGAGGATTTTTTTTTCTTGGGAGAGTGCATGTGAGAGTGCACAGGGCCAATCAACACTGTCCAGACAGGTCAGGGGATTTGTATCCTCCTAGAGCAGAAAGAAAACTCCTCCTACAAGCTTTAGCTAGTGCTGGACTGGACACTGATAGAAGTCACAAGACTGCTCTAACTGCTGATGAGAAAAGGTATTTAGCAGTTTATATTTACTAAAATAATTGCATTTCCATGTTCTGTGTACTGTGAGAAACCAGATATAGTGGGTCCTGGGCTTAGTACCACTTTAAGCTGGGTACACACAGTCCGAATATTGGCTGGCAGATATTCGGGCTGTGTGTATATCAGTCCTTCTGAAGAGATTTGCTGGAAAACCATCATCCGTTCAGCACTCGCAGCCAATGGCTGATTAGTGTGTTCTGGTGGGGAGGGGGTCTTCCCATCCCCTAGTCAGAATATAAAGGTACAGCGGGAGAGATTGCTGTACTAACATCGCTTAGTTGGTATGGTGATCTGTTTTTTTTTTTAGTTCAGTTAAATTAAAAAAAAAAAAAAAAAAGGAATGTGTGTAAGGGTCAGTTCTGCTGCCAGAACACAGCGCTGCATACTGTACGTAGCTGAGCTTACTTATAGTTCATACAGCGCTGACAACTGATGCATATGTTGACAAAGGAAATAGTTGATTTGGACAAGCTTGGGGCCAAAACAAGCCAAAGAATGGAGTTAGGCTTTAATATCTTGCCTTACACAATTGAATGTCATAAAAGTGTCATTACACTACTGCTACTACCTTCAGATTACAAAAACATCTCATGGTCTATGCCAGGGGTCTCTAAACTTACTAAACAAAGGGTCAGTTTATTATCCTTCAGACTTTAGGGGGGCAAGACTATGGCCAGTGGGAGAAGGAAATATCCTGGTGTAAGTAACAATGCCCCATCATTGATGTTAGTAAGAGGAATAGCACCCCATCATTGGTGTCTGTAAGAAGAATAGCGTTCCATCATTGATGTTAGTAAGAGGAATAGTGCCCCATCATTGATGTTTAGTCTGTAAGAAGAATAGCGTTCCATCATTTGGTGAATCTGCCCCATCATTGGTGTCTGTAAGAGGAATAGCGTTCCATCATTGATGTTAGTAAGAGGAATAGTGTGACGGGAGTGACTTTTGGGGGTTGGGGGACCTCTGTATCATCTCCCCAAATCATTATGTTTAACCCACCCTGTGCCTGTTTAAGGGGTACAGGGTGTGTATATGTGAATGTCTGAGTCTTGTGTATAGTGTGTGTTCCTTTGTCTAGGCCACATGGCTGTCCATTGTCTGTTTGCCATGTGCTAACCCCCATTGTGCTGTGTCTTCCTGTCCAGCCAACTATTATGGGATGTACTGTTTGTGTATTGGTGTGGGGGTTGGTCAATGTCCTTTACCATGTGTTTCATCCCATTGTTCTGTGTCTTGGTGGGATGGGGTGGGCTGATGATGTATTTCCTGTTCCTGGTTGTCTTTCCCCGCCTTCTGTATATATCCTGTGTTTTGTGTACAATAAAAAGAGTTGGCTTCCTGTATTAAGCAGAGCTGGGTGCTGTCTTTTTCCTGAGGGATTTCAAGGGTGTGGTCCGTGGATGGTGTTCGGACAGGGGAAGCTGCAGTATAACGGAATATACCCAAGTGCGGTCGGGTACCGGTTCCATTACAAATAGTGCCCCATCATTGATGTTATTAAGAGGAATAGTGCCCCATCATTGGTCCCCAGTGAGAGGAATAGTGCCCCATCATTGAAGTTAGTAAGAGGAATAGCGCCCCATCGTTGGTGTCTGTAAGAGGAATAGCACCCCATCATTGATGTTAGTAAGAGGAATAGTGCCCCATCATTGGTGTCTGTAAGAGAAATAGCGCCCCATCATTGGTGTCTGTAAGAGGAATAGCGCCCCATCATTGATGTTAGTAAGAGGAATAGTGCCCCATCATTGGTGTCTGTAAGAGGAATAGCACCCCATCATTGGTGTCTGTATGAAGAATAGCGTTCCATCATTGATGTTATTAAGAGGAATAGTGCCCCATCATTGGTCCCAGTGAGAGGAATAGCGCCCCGTCATTGATGTTAGTAAGAGGAATAGTGCCCCATCATTGGTCCCAGTGAGAGGAATAGCGCCCCATCATTGAAGTTAGTAAGAGGAATAGTGCCCCATCATTGAAGTTAGTAAGAGGAATAGCGCCCCATCGTTGGTGTCTGTAAGAGGAATAGCACCCCATCATTGATGTTAGTAAGAGGAACAGTACCCCATCATTGGTGTCTGTAAGAGGAATAGCGCCCCATCATTGGTGTCTGTAAGAGGAATAGCGCCCCATCATTGGTGTCTGTAAGAGAAATAGCGCCCCATCATTGGTGTCTGTAAGAGAAATAGCGCCCCATCATTGGTGTCTGTAAGAGGAATAGTGCCCCATCATTGGTGTCTGTGAGGGAAATAGTGCTCCATCGTTGATGTCCATAGCATGAATAATGCCCCATAGTTGGTGTCAGTGGGAGGAATAGTGCCCCATCATTAGTGTCTGTAAGAGGAATAGTGCACCATCATTGGTGTCTGTGAGGGGAATAGTGCCCCATCATTGATGTCCATAGCACGAATAGTGCCCCATAGTTGGTGTCAGTGAGAGGAATAGTGCCCCATAGTTGGTGTCAGTGAGAGGAATAGTGCCCCATCATTGGTATTGCAGAGAGGAATTATGCCCTATCAATGGTGTCAGTGGGAAGAATGGTGCCCCATCATTTGTGTCGAAGGAAGGATTAGCATCCTACCATTGGTGTCCGTGATGGAAATAATGCACCACTGTCGATGTCAGTGGGGGGAATTGTGCCTCGAGGGCCTGATAAAGCAAGCAAAAGGACACATCAGGTCCCCAGGCCGCAGTTCGGAGACCACTGGTCTATGCTATGGAAGTTCACTATAAAATGGTTTGAATTGTATTAGGGCATTTTATCAGATCTACTAAGGGCCAGGCCAGTTATGAGTGGATGGTTGGATTTTACTGTTTCTCTTTGCAGATCCAGGATGAAGAACTATATCTCCTTTTATTATCTTTTACAATTCTGCGGACATTCCTGGATCTTTACCAACATGACAGCCAGGCTTCTTTTCTTTGGAAAAGGTAGACATTTTGTATGAATCATGTGAATACAGCAGTATTTGTCTTTTATTGTCAAAATTCTCTGATCCACCTATGCTTATACCTGTTAACTTGCCAGTTGTATCACCTCTGCTGCTGCTGATCTTTGAGCTTTATTCAGTGATAATTTCAAAATTTACATGTTTCTCAGATGTGACAAGCTTTAGTGCAGTCCCATCAGGAGAAAGGTGTTGGTTTGTCCTGGAACAGTTTAGTGGTCCAAAAAAAGTTCACTTTAACAGACCCTACAATACCATTTACCCATTACCAGTCATTCTGAGATCACCTGAACAGTGAAATATGGTTGGTTGCGCTTCCTGACTTGCTGCAGTTTAAAAACTGCTCATTGTCCTTAGCGAAGTAAACTCAACATGAGCTAAGATTGGGAATATGGGAGCTGCCATAACTGACCTCTATCTGAATATGTTAGTTCCCTGGCTGCTATGCTGACCACGGCCTTTAGTACTTTCTGTGTCACGGAGTAGGAAAAATCATGTCGATCAGTAATGTATGAGTTAAGTCAAAATCCCTTATTTGCGAACGTCTTCCAATTCAATGAGCCAAGAAGCTCAGCATGACTGTGTGGAAATTTGTATGTTTGGGAGAACTCAGTATTTAATGTCTCCATGTGTTTCTCATGACATATATCTATTAAATAGCACATCAGTCTGTGCATACAGTGGTTAGGTACAGTACATTTTAGAATTGAACAAAGGTCTAGAGAAGGCTCGGGAACTTACAGTTGCAAGAAAAAGTATGTGAACCCCTTGGGATTACGTGGAGTTTTGCATGAATTGGGTATAAAATATGCTCTGAATGTCATCTAAGTCACAACAATAGAAGAACACAGTCTGCTGAACATAATACTACACAAACATTAGATGTTGCCATGGTTTAATTGCACATAACATGTAAACATTCACAGTGCAGGGAGCAAAAAGTATGTGAGGCCCTATCTTAATGACTTCTCCCAGAGTTAATTGGAGCCAGGAGTGAGCCAACCTTGACTCCAATCAGTGTGATGATATTGGATGTGTTGCTGACAGCTGTCCTGCCCTTAAAAAGCACACACCTGTTTTGGGTTTACTGGTTTCAAGAAGCACTGTCTGATGTGACCCATGCCTCGCAGAAAAGAGCTCTCAGAAGACCTACGATCAAGAATTGTTGACTTGCATGAAGCTGGAAAGGGTTACAAAAGTATCTCCAAAAGCCTTGATGTTCATGTGTCCATGGTAAGACAGACTGTCTACAAATGGAGAAGGTTTAGCACTGTTGCTACTCTCCCTAGTCGTGGTCGTCCTGTAAAAATGACTGCAAGAGCACAGCGCAGAATGCTGTATGAGGTAAAGAAGAATCCCAGAGTGTCAGCTAAAGACCTACAGAAATCTCTGGCACATGCTAACATTTTTGTTGACATATCCACAATAAGGAAAACATTAAACAAGAATGGAGTACATGGGAGGACATCACAGAGGAAGCCATTGCTGTCCAAAAAGAATATTGCAGCACGTTTGAAGTTTGCAAAAGAGCACCTGGATGTTCCACAGCACTGCTGGCAAAATATACTGTGGACAGATGAAACCAAGATTGAGTTGTTTGGGAAGAACACACAACACTATGTGTGAAGGAAAAAAGGCACAGCACACCAACATCAAAACCTCATCCCCACTGTAAAACACTGGCGGAGGGAGCATCATGGTTTGGGGCTGCTTTGCTGCCTCAGGGCCTGGACGGATTGTTGTCATTGATGGGAAAATGAATTCCAGAGTTTATCAAGACATTTTGCAGGAAAACGTAAACGACCATCTGTCCGCCAACTGAAGCTCCGCAGAGGATGGGTGATGCAACAGGACAATGACCCAAAGCATACAAGTAATTCAACAAAACAATGGCTGCAACAGCACAGAATACGCCTTCTGGAGTGGCCCAGTCAGAGTCCTGACCTCAACCCGATTGAAATGCTGTGGCATGACTTTAAGAGAGCGATTCACACCAGACATCTCAAGAATATTGCTACACTGAAACAGTTTTGTGAAGAGGATTGGTCCAAAATTACTCCAGATTGTTGTGCAGGTCTGATCTGCAACTACAGGAAATGTTTGGTTGAGGTTATTGCTGCCAAAGGAGGGTCAACCAGTTATTAAGTCCAAAGGTTCACATACTTTTTCCTCCCTGCACTGTGAATGTTTACATGTTATGTGCAATTAAACCATGGCAACATCTAATGTTTGTGTAGTATTATGTTCAGCAGACTGTGTTCTTCTATTGTTGTGACTTAGATGACGTTTAGAGCACATTTTATGCCCAATTCATGCAAAACTCCACGTAATCCCAAGGGGTTCACATACTTTTTCTTGCAACTGTATGTGCACATGATTTTATGTGTATTGCTATAGCAAAGAAATCATTACAAAAAAAAAAAGGGACAAGAAGAGACCACAAAACATACACTAGATCATATATGAACTCTTTCCTCTCCATTCTTTATGGCAGAAAGACAGTCCTTTTTCCTTTTGATGCCAAGGATGTAAAGCTTACACCAGAGCACAACCACCACTTCCAGTTGGGCAGCTCAGTGAACATTGCATTCTCTCTGCATTTCCTTCTGCTACAAGCTCAGTCACTTCAGTGACCATATGACAGAAGGGTTCCTTGAACTCTGTTCATTAAATAGGTAACTGTGATCAGAGAATTACTTTCTTGATCGAACACTAGAGTGCTCAATAATAACTAAAGAAATTGCAGCACATTAGCTAAATGGTAAGCACTTCTGCCTGGCAGTACTAGAGTCATTGGTTTGAACCCCAACCAGTGCACCACCTACCTGCAGTTTGCATGTTCTCCCTGTGCCTGCGTGGGTTTCCTCCAGGTATTCCAGTTTCCTCCCACACTTCAAAGACATGCTGGTAGGTTAATTGGATCCTGTCTACATCAGCCCTAGTATGTGTATGTATGACTGTAAGTTAGGGACCTTAGCTTGCGTGCCGCATGAGGGTTAGGGACTGAAGTGAACGTACAATATATATGTAAAGCGCTGAGTAAATTGACGGTACTAAATAAGTACCTGAAATACACAAACTAGCACATCATGTTTTACTCTTTCATTTGAGAAAGAAGAGGAAGCATTCTGCTCCTGTTGCAGAGGAGAAGGTGTTTGAGGACTCAATGTCCTCAATTTCTTTCTCTGTCTTGAATGTGAAATAGCTGAAAAGACCCCTGATATTTCCTAAAAGCCCATTCATAGTAAGTAATTAGATCATTAAAATAAATGTAGAAAATTGTACCTAGGAAAACTTTTACTACTTGTGGTATATGAAAAGCCTCATCCACCTAGGTACAAACTAGAAAGGGTGGAAGATTCATTTACACAAGGATTGTAGTTTATGAGTGCTAAATATGATTACTCTATAACCATATCAAGAAATGTGTTTTTGTCTGCAGATTCTTTTGCCGATACATTTTATACAATTGGGCTAGTGATGCAGGCCTGCCAGTTACTGTCTGTCTTGGAGCTGTTACATGTTTTGCTGGGCATAGAACAACAGCCTTTCATGCCAAGGTTTTTGCAGGTAAGGGATATAATTGGCAGGTCGTTTTGCTCTTACATTTTAGGGTCATGTATGAAACCAGGATGTATCTACCTCATTGGTGGCTGTATGCAAACATACAGTATGTTGGTACCCAGGTAAATTCAAATGGTCCACAAACAAACATGGAAACCTCTTGCTGCCCATTTTTTATTTGCTGGATTATTGGAATACATTACATCAGAAAACTGCTTTGTGTAAATATGCTTCATAATACTATTGTAGAGTAGGAAAATAAAAGACGTATGACATAGCTTGATTTCTTGAGTGTTGTTCCTTATTCATTTAGTGCAGGGTTGTCAAACTGGTGGCCCTCTAGTTGCTGCAAAACTACAAGTCCCATCATGCCTCTGCCTTTGGGAGTCATGCTTGTAACTGTCAGTCTTGCAATGCCTCATGGAACTTGTAGTTTGGCAACAGCTGGAGGTCTGCCAGTTTCACACCTGTGATTTAGTGGGTTATGAAAAGCTTAGTTTTTTTTTTCACTTCGGCAGCGAAGTGTCACTTTTCAGAAGTCAAAGCAATGCAGCTTTCAAACATTTCTGGAATATGTTTTTAAACCCTTATCTTCTGAATCCATTTTCTGCAGATCATCAAACTTACAACCCAGTGTTACCCAACTAAATGCAATGCTCACAACAAGCTGAACAAAGTAGCCATACTTAATAAAAAATCAGAATATGTCATTCTAACAGAAGACTAAAGCAGTCTGAAAAATACATTATCAGGGACAGCAGATTTACTGCCTGGCTTGATCTTTATAACATATTATGAATACTTTCATAAGATACGAAGAGGAAGAAACTTGAAAGCATTTTAAACCATATATTTCCTCGTCTTTCAAATGAAGAAGTACTCTTAAACCGTCATATATTTAGCATTTGGTTCTAATAATATTACATGTCATAAAATGTATCCAACACATGTAGAAAATAGAACAACTGCTGGCCTGAAGCTTGAAAATGCTTGTTATGTCCCAGAATTAATCCTTCCAATGCTAAATTAGGTGCTCAAAGTCACATTACTTGGAGACAGATGTCAGGTTGCATATGACTGTTACACAATTCAAATTTCTTTACAGGTAACAGAGAGGTTGGTTATCCTGTTTGTGGTCATCAGCAGCCAGGAAGAAATGCAGAGCAAATGCATAGTGTGTATTCTCTTCTTTCTGTGGAACCTGTGGGATGTTGTAAGGTAACGGTACATTGTATCCTATGCTAATCATTTTCACAGCTTTAACATCAGGCAAATATATGTACCACTGTTCTGGTCATACTGCATTGGCTCAAAACTTCATTTAGTAACTATTATACCTGAGGTAGGCAACCTTTGAGAGGTGAAGATCTAACTGAACAATGTGAAAGAGATCAAATATCACACGGGTTCGACACTCCTTTTTTAAAAAAAGAAATGAACTAGCAAGGCCTAACTAAATAGTAAGGAAAACTTAGAAAAATATAATAAAACAAATGTCACTGTAAAAATATAAACTCATAGGAAAATAAGGGAGGCGTAGTATGGGATTTATAAGCAAAGGTAAGTTTCACTCCCAAGAGAGTAGAACAGTGATTTCTTGTCATCAGTGATACACAGGTACAGTGCAGCCCAACATCCAGGGAAGGAGTCCCACAGTCATGAATGGTGAGGTACACCGTCACCGCAGTCCCGGCAAGGAAACTCCGACCGAAAGTGGAGGAACCAGCATAGAACACATCTACGGGCGGAAGTGACGTCAAAGAACAAGGACCAGTACTAGTGCAGGCAGGCTATGCGCTCAGAGCTCTTCGGCTCCTTCTACAGGACTGGGGGTGGACCTCTGTAGGAAGGGGGCTGTACATCGGTGTCCCATTGGACAACAAGGATCAGCGGACCAAAGTGAAAGACTATGTGGAGTTAAGATAAAAGGAATGTTTGGGGACATGAAAACATAATATGAAGGAAAAAGAGCAAAAATAAACGAGCAAAAGAATGAGCAACAAAATAATAAAAAAATAAATAAAAATTAATGGAAATATATGCATGTATAAAAACTTTGTACCGCTAGGATGCACTGCAACCAATACATAAGGCTTAAACTTAGACTAGCTGGAAAGTGAACTTCGTCAGTCAGTAGAGTAGTAGATGGTGTTAGTAGGACAGTGGATGGTGTCAGTTGGGCAGTGGATGGATTCAGTAGGGCAATGGACTGTGTCAGAGCAGTGGACAATATCAATAGGGCAGCGGATCGTGTCAGAAGTTTTTTTATTTAATTTTTTTCAAAATTCAACTTTATCATTTTTTTTGTAGAATATTGTTTTGGATTATTCTTTTTACAGTTTTTAGGATCCCTGTTGGGGGACTTTGGTGAAATATCAGGGGTCTAAACATATCGCTAATGTTTCACTTTTGAGACAGAGGAAGGGACTGAGGACAGATATTTCCCAGTTCTTTTCTCTGCAGCCTCAGCTACACTGGACAGTGAATGAATGGGAAGTGCTCTGAGGCTTCCTGTTCATTCACAAACTAAAAGTGCATGAAGGGAAAAAAACCCTTCTCTGTGCAGCAGCTCCACCAGCCCCCCTAATACTCACCTAAGCCACCTCTCCATCCAGCGATGTACACCCTCTCCTCATTGGCCAATGCCTCCCACTGCTGTCAATCACAGCCAGTGAGCCAATAAGAGGGGGAGGGCAGGACCAAGCTTCGGCTCCGTGTATGAATGGACACACGGAGCAACGGGTGCCTCCATAGCAAGCTGCTTGCTGTGGGGGCACCCAACAGGAGGGAGGGGTCAGAAGAGCCGGCGGGGGACCCGAGAAGAGGAGGATCCGGGCTGCTCTGTGCAAAACCAGTTCACACAGCAGGTAAGTATGACATGTTTGTTATTTTTATAAAAAAAAAAAAAAAAAAAAAAACACAGTTGCAAATGAACAAGTCAGTGATTGGTGCCACTGACAGTGTTCATTAATAAAAGGAAGGGGCTAGTAAATTACATATTTTCCGCCCCCCCCCCCCTCTACCGACTCTCCATCCTAAATTGTCCCCCACAGCAACTAGTGGAAGAGGAAAGGAGAGGGGCTGGCAGTACTACAGGGGGTTGGGCAACAAAAGTAGTAGTAGGTATTTAGTGGAACCTATTGGCTGTGTTTTCCTCCCTGCAGCAGCTGAATGTTGGAGGGAGGGAGAAGAGAAGCGGGCATTAACTTTGCTGCAGGAAAGAAAATACAGCCGATCGGGTTTCCACCACCCATCCTCTCCACCTTCTGGGGTTGGCAACCCAGAGATGGAATCTACCCCGCCAACTGCCCTTGATTGAAGGGTTGCTGACCCCCATATTAGACACCAGTGGCTATATAACAAAAATGAGTAATACTGTAAACCTAAAACTGTTATTTGCCCTGTTGTGATCATAAATGTGTATGGATTATGTGGTTCAAAAACAAGATGGTGGTCACAACCTTATTATTAATGCCATACCTTTATTGCACAAGTATGTATAAGCCATGAGTAAGAACTGATCCAGAACAGACAAGGTAAGTGCTCTGTGCTAATATTTCATGGGGAACCCCCCATGGCATCGTGAACAATCAATTCTATTGAATCATGCTGGACTTTTCAGCAATGATACAGTGCCTTGAAAAAGTATTCATACCCCTTGAAAATTTTTCACATTTTGTCATGTTACACAAAAAATTTAAATGTATTTTATTGGGATTTTATGGGATAGACCAACACAAGGTGGCACATAAATGTCAAGTGGAAGGAAAATGATTAATGGTTTTCAAATTTGTTTTACAAATAACTATCTGAAACGTGTGGCATACATTTGTATTCAGCCCCTTTCACCTTTCACTGCAATTACACCTGCAAGTCTTTTTGGGGATGTCTTCACCAGCTTTGCACATCTAGAGAGTGAACGTTTTGCACATTCTTCTTTGCAAAATAGCTCAAGCTCTGTCAGATTGGATGGAGAACAATTTTCAAGTCTTGCCACAGACTCTCAATTGGATTCAGGTCTGGACTTTGGCTGGGTCATTCTAACACATGAATATGTTTTAATCTAAACCATTCCATTTTAGCTCTGGATGTATGTTTAGGGTCATTGTCCTGTTGGAAGGTGAACCTCCAGCCCAGTCTCCAGTCTTTTGCAGACTCTAATAGGTTTTCTTCTAAGATTGCCCTGTATTTGGCTCCATCCATCTTCCCATCAACTTTGACCAGCTTTCCCCGTCCCTGCTAAGGAATAGCATCCCCACAACATGATGCTGCCGCCAACATGTTTCACGGTGGGGATGGTGTGTTCAGGGTGATGTGCAGTGTTAGTTTTCTGCCACACATAGCGTTTTGCTTTTAGGCCAAAAGGTTCAATCTGGTCTCATCTGGCCAGAGCACCTTCTTCCACATGTTTGCTGTGTCCCCCACATGGCACCTTGCAAACTGCAAATGGGACTTCTTAAGGCTTTCTTTCAACAATGGCTTTCTTCTTGCCACTCTCTCAAGAAGGCCAGATTTGTGGCGTGCGCGACTAATAGTTGTCCTGTGGACAGATTCTCCGACTTGGGCCTCTTGGCTGCTTCTCTGATTAATGCTCTCCTTGCCCGGCCTGTCTGTTTAGGTGGATTGCCATGTCTTGGTCGGTTTGCAGTTGTGCCATACTTTTTCCATTTTCGGATGACGGATTGAACAGTGCTCCATGGGATATTCAAAGCTTGGGATATTTTTTTATAACCTAACCCTGCTTTAAACTTATCCACAACTTTATCCCGGACCTGTCAGGTGTGTTCCTTGGCCATGATGCTGTTGGTTCACTAATGTTCTCTAACACACCTCTGAGGGCTTCACAGAACAGCTGTATTTATACTGAGATTAAATTACACACAGGTGGACCCTATTTACTAATCAGGTGACTTCTGAGGGCAATTGGTTTTACTAGATTTTAGTTAGGGGTATCAGAGTAAAGGGGGCTGAATACAAATGCACGCCACACTTTTCGCATATTTATTTGTAGAAAATTTTGAAAATCATTTATCATTTTCCTTCCAATTCACAATTATGTGCAACTTTGTGTCAGTCTATCATATAAAATCCCAATAAAATACATTTAAGTTTTTGGTTGTAAATGTGGAAAATTTCAAGGGGTACGAATATTTTTTCTGGGAACTGTATGTGAACAACGACAATCAACACAATCATTTAGTTTATGGCAAATGATCTCATACTGAAAGGTTTTCTGGTTATTGCTTGTGTCTTTACAGATACCCATACCATCTGTTATCAGCAACTGGAACAGAGTACCGAGCTCTTTCTTGGCTCAACCACACATTATGGATCCCAGTTTATCCACTGTCCTTGCTGGCTGAAGGTAAATTTATTTTACTGAACTTACAATATGTTCTGTAAGTGGCTTTAATAAATCTCAGCAGTCTCTGTTTTGTTTTATTTTTCTAAAATGGGGAAATACAGCTTCCTGTATTTTCCAATCATAAAGAAGACAGCAGGAAGAGACAGTTTCATATTGTTGAAGTAAACTTGTCACAAGGAAAATATGGGGTCTACCATTGCTAAATTCTCCTTTTGATCATGATAGTTGTCTGTTGTTGATGCAAATGTTTTAATACGGGGTCACTGACCTGGAACAAGTTTACAGCTAGAAGAGTCAGAGAAAAGCCAAAAATCCTGATTTGCATACTTATTCCAGGTCTTTGGTAATCCAAAGTTTTCAATAGGCTTTGGGTTACGCAGACAATTTGCATTTTTAAAATGAAAGTCAGTAATGGCAGCCTGTATTTCTTCTCAGGACCAGCCTCGTGTAAAGCCACTTTCTTTAGCAGAGTCCAGCTATCTTAAGAGGGGCTGTGGGTGGTGGGAAGGCTTCCATGTTATTATATGGAAGACCCAGTCAGAGGACTTCCTTTTTCTTGGCAGAACTGTTTAGAACATGTTTGTTGCACAGGTTTCACATTGATTATCACAGATCTTTAGTTTATGTTGTACTTCTGTTTTTTAAATGACAACTGTACTTGAAAGCTGTAAAATGTCAGTCTTAAAGTGGAATTTCACCTTAAAGGGGAAGTTTCACTTTATGCCCTCCTCCTCCCCCCTCCTTTTCTGTTTTTGGCATTTTTTTTTTGGGGGGGGGGGGGGGCAGGTATCTGGTTTTCACATGCACCCACTCCCACTTCTCATTGGATAGCCACAGCAAACCTCTAAAGGTTCTCCCCCTACCCGCAACCTTCTGGGACACATCATGGGTCCCAGATGGTTGCGGAACCATTCACAAAGCGCAGCGTGTTTTGCACACATGCAGTGGGCAGCCGGCTGTGGAGCCGCAAGAAATCACAGCCAGCTGCCCATAGTAAACATGCTGCCACCAGGGTCCCAAAGACCTGCAAAGAAGTGGTTCGGGTGAGTACAGCGCTGGACCCCTGGACAAGTTAGGGTCCTTTTAACAGTCAGCAGCTACAGTATTTGTAGCTGCTGACTTTTAATTAAAAATGGGAACGTCACATCTAAGGAGAGGTGGGGGGGCAACTAAGATAAAAAAAATGTAGACATACTCTTTAAAATGGAACGTCACTCTCTCATTTAACATGGGCTTTTTGTAATCTTTATGCTGCTAGCATTAGTAAATAGATAGGAAAGCATATCATATTTACTTTTTGTTTTTAAATATTTCTTCAGTTACTTCTTGGTTTCCATGCCTAGGCAAATGACATCATACATCTCAGCAGTCTTCAGGAGGGGAAGAAGGGTTCTCAGCTCAGCCATGGACAGTTAGATTCCAAGAAGTAAATGATACATGAATCATCTGCCCTTACTCAAGATGGCCACTGCCAGACATGCGGGGGCTGTTTTTCAAAATTATTTCTCAGCAAAATAAAGCATGGCGACATGGATGGATGGGGAGTTTGCGTTGAATATTAAAAAGGATTTAAATAGGATTTTTGGTTTGTGGTGTTCAAATGCAGTGCAGTTCCACTTTCAGTGTGCAAGTGAAATGACTAAAGCATTTGTCTTTGCAGTGTACACAGTCTATGATCGCTGCCCTATTTTGAATCCCTTGGCACATTTTCCTACAATATAGTGTTGCCATTTGCTGTATCTATTCATTTCCCATATATTTTAAAGGCATACTTGGCTCTTCTACCCGCAGGTAAAGTAACCGGTTGATAAATAGTTTTAATATCTGCTTTGTAAACCAATTGACTAAAATGTAAATATTATTTAGGTATGCTGTACACATGCAGCCATCTCTTTTCTGAAAGAAGACTTTATCTCAAAGTATGTAATGGAAAAATTAAAACAAAATGATATTAAAAGGTAAGTGACAATTCCACAAAGCTATCTAAATGCTGCCGATTTATTTTCAGCTGTCACAAAAAAGAGAATATTTGTTACTTGCTGTTTAACAGTACAAACATTCAATCAAAATCCATAAATGAGGTCAAATGCACTACAGAAACAGTGGCCAAGAGAAAAATTGTATCTAGTTGGAGGAAAGAGAAAGCAGCACTCTTATATGGGCCATGTCACTACAGTTGTCCAGATATAAATGTCACTTACATAATGAACAGTAACATTAACTCTGTCAGAGAAACATCAGGATGCAGCATGCACTTTACAAAATGATATACCAAATCTTATGTTTTAAACACATCTGCTCTAAAGGGGCAACACCTTCTAAAAACCATATTTCATTTAGAGGTAGACTTAGGGCAAAAAAGAGCATGGTAAAAAGTCTGTCACCGCAGGGGCACACAGGAAACAGTTGTTTCCTATGTGTCTCATTCACATTGCAACACATCCTAGCACTGCGCAAAAATGCAGACATGCTGCATTTTATCTCAGCACACCTACCCGAATCGCACTGCAATGCACCGCCTGGCATTGCAGTGAATGAACTGTATGTTTTGTAACTTCAAATGAAGCTCTTACAATACCAAAAAAAAAAAAAAAAAAGGCTAAATCACAGACCACATTGCCCCCTAACACAGCCAGCAACCGAGAGCTGTCACAGAGGTAAAGAACTGCAGAAGCTCTCCATATAGTGCGAATTCGCCCTAATTCATCCCCCGACTTCTTATCTCGGTGGTTTTTGTAGTTTGTACTCTGGTCCCACTCCTGTTCTATTCTTTCTAATAGAAACGGAGCATATGGAGAAACATAAAACCATCTGATAGTTTTAGTCTCCCAAAGTCTACCAAAAATTAAAATACCAGTTATATTGTTGGGTTGGTGTGAACCTTTTAAATTATATTTTTTATATGGCAAAATTTGTTCTCTGTTGAGGTTTCTTTCTGACGCAAAAATCTGTGGATGACTTAAGTCATAAACATCTAATAATTCCCCAATAAGAAGTATGGGTACCTATGGTTTACCTTTTCCGTATATCAAGCAAAGTCATTAAAAAGGTTAAATCTACCTTTTACAGAAAAATCATAAATGCACATATATTTGCAGAAAAAAAGCACATTTATACTTTTTTGGCACTGGAGCCAGCAAAGCATTCCCTCTGCAATCAGTGGATTGCAGGTGCAATGCCAGGCTCCTGCAGGTTATTTCTCCAGGTCTGTCTGTACCAAGATACAAACTTTGAGTTGTAGAGCTGCAGGAAGTGTTCCATTGAGAATTACCATGCTGCCATGAGGACTTATAATTCATTCTTAGATCTCTAAATGGATGACATAGCTTAGTGGGCGGAGCACTGCACAGCCATACCAATTTTAAAAGTGACAGCTGCTGCTGGGTTAGTCCTATTAGCACATGGTTACACCCTAAATGAGTGCAAAATGTAACATTATGCAAAAGGTGAAGATTGGTATAGCTGGCACTCGTCTTCCCAAAAATAATAAGCCATATGATGGCTATGACTAAGGCTTATTTCTGAAACTTGTAAGCCATTTTATATGCACATTTTACTCGTTCAATAAAGTTTATTATTCAGGAAGACGTGTGCCGGTTATACCAATCTTCATCATTCAGTTGTATCTGTGTTGGGAAGAAACACAGAGCCAGAGCACCGACATTCCACCTCCGTGGGGAATATTTCTGGGCATAGCACCTACTTGTTCACCATTCTGCAAAAGGTGCAGTTAGCCTTTACACATGGCACTGTGTTGCTCTAAATCAGGTTGCAATCAAGCAATAAAGATTAGGGGGATGTTGACTACAAAGGCCTTTTTGAAAGTCACCACTAATCCTTATGCAGGCCATAGACGCGTCATTTATCGGCTGAATTTTCGTCTGCACGAAAAATCGGCCGATATTCACGCCGTTAGTGGGGCCAGACTGTTAGCCATTTTTGGCGGATCTTCTCATTTAGTTTTATCGGTCATGCTGGAAAATCCACGAAAAACGGCCGTTTTTCGTGGACAATGGTGGCAGCATCAGCAAGGGGGCCGACCGATTTTTCGTTTATCGACCGATAAATGGCCCGTCTATGGCCTGCATTACTCAGGCTGAATTAGCAACATTAAATTAACCTTCCTGATGCTATGTTTCTTTTCTGTTATTTTTTTAGACCGCTTTTTATTTTAGAATTAATCCATAAAGCTTAACTACAGGCACACAATACATCTAACAGGAAACAGCCTAAGTGGTGCTAATACTAAATATCTATTATGTAAAAAAAAAATGTAATGTTAAACTTGCTGGACTGGTTGGATTTTATAGACTTGTTTCTTTTTTTAACCAATGCAACTGTGTAAGGTTGTCTTCCACATTTTTTGTGTCCTAGCTGCATTAAAACAAAGCACTGTAGGAGTGTACAGACTGAAGTTTCATCACGGACCATGTGACTGCTTCTGAACTACAACTCCCAGCAGGCATTGCTCAAGTTCCATGTTGAGTGACAGACAGGGTGGAAGAGAGGATGATGAAATAGGCTAGGAATGTCCCTTACAGTTATATATACAAGTCAGGAAAATCTCTCCATATTTGTCTGTAAAAATGTAATTTACTGAGCAACAATTTGTAATGCCTCCTTTCTAATGATTTACATTTTATTCTGTTAGTGATAAGTCACATTAACCACACACATTACAATGTGATTGTAAAATCTTTAGATTTACCATGCTTTTTCAGTTATTAAGAGTTCTGTTTTAACATTCAAGAACATGACGGATGAGTAATATAAATAAAAGTAGGGACATAAATTAAATATTTCAGTTTGACAGAAGCCTGATAATTTGGTGTCAGAAAAAAAAACAAAAAAAACAGACAGCACGTGTCAGCCCATTGCTTACATTATTTGTGACGCATTCTGATTGAATAAAAATTTCAAAATAGACAATAACTTTATACCGTTCAACTTTCAGAGATGAGGACACACCCGTACACCACTCTTCCAGCTAGATTTATTTTGCAAAAAAAAATTGGTAAAACTAAAAATGCTTTTTTTCCCTTCATCTTCTTTATATTGGCTTTTTTTTAAAAAAAATGCAATAATTTACTACTAAAACTGGTAAGCTGCAATATATTACAATTTTTGGGAATGCTTTTGATATGCTTTAATTTACGATGACACTTTTGGTAAATAGTACATTTTACACATCATACTTAAGAGCAACAGTGACAGGAAAGATGCACAGAGGATTTTTTTTTTTTCCCAAAGGATGGATAGTTCCTCCAAATGGAGGTATGTAACATTCACGTCATTTTAAATATATAAACAAGACATACAAACAAGACCCCAAGAACAAGAAGTGGACCTTAAAATGTCAGGTGTGTGTGTAAGCACAAAAGTACTTTTTCTTTTTTAGAATATGTTATTTTCTTAACTTTAGAATATTATTTGTTGCCATGTTACAAAAAAAACAATTTCAGAATTTCTTTATTAGCTTTTATTAGTTTTCTTGGAGAAAGTCCTGCAAAAACAACTTGATCCCCCTTTAAATATATAAAGATGGTGTATTATTGACATCCAAACAAACAAGAATATGGTGTACAAGGTGTGTTTGTTTATATGTATATGTTTGTATGTATATATATATTTTATATACACACATTTTTAAACCGTGTAAACTAAATACAAATAAACAATTTTAGAATATTTTGCCATTTTCTTCATCTTATTATATTATTTGTAACCCTTTTACAATAAAACAATTTCAAAAGAATATAATATAGACTGTGATATGTATCCACTGTTCTGCAAGTAAGGGCTCATGCACACTGCAAATCAAAAAAACTGCTTTTACAGGCGTTTGAGCTTTTATTTTTCTGCTTCTAAAGCCTCATGCACACTGCAGCTCAAATAATCTGCTCCTAAAGGCATTTGAGCCATTTTGAGCTTTTACATTTCTCTGCCGGTTAACTCCCCTCCATTTTAGCCTATGTGTTCATGCATACTATAGGCATTTCAGGTGTTTACAGCCATAAAAGAAAACTCAAAAGGGGTTGCTTTCGGGTCCTGTGCTGAGTGGCTGTGCCAATGCACTATGCATACAGGCAGTCGGCCACTCAGCATGGATGCCATACAGATAATGCTTTGCATTTATTGAATGAATGCACAGTATTCCCTAATTGGATGGTGTAGAGAGGCGGTGTTGTAACAGCCAGACATAGTATATACATAGTTACATTGCTCAAAGCTGGACAAATGTACCCATGGAAAAATTTACTATACCTGGAATTCTTCTTTAAGATGCACTTTACATTTAAACTCCGGAACATTTCCCCTTCATTACCAGAGCATTTTTTGCATTTCAGCACTGTGCTAGTTTAACTGCCAATAGCATGGTCACGCAACACTGAGCACAAATTAATTTTACATATATCATTTTTTCATACAAATAGAGCTTTCTTTTGGAGGTCTTTGCTCAACACTGGGTTTTTTTTTTTTTTTTGCAATATAAACGAAAAAAAAAAACCCTAAAATTTTGAAAATAAACCCAATATTTTCTACTTTCTGTTATAAAACATACCCAATAAAAAAAAAATCTGATTTCTTCATAAATTTAGGCAAAAATGTATTCTTCTATACTGTATGTCTTTGGTAAAAAAAAAAAAAAATCCCAATAACTGTATATTAATTGGTTTGTGCAAAAGTTAGAGCATCTACAAACTATGGTATGTATATACTGGAATTTACACAGCTATAATGCTATATTGGTAATGGCAGTGATCAGTGACTTATAGTTTGACTGTGATAGGGTGGTGGACAATCTGCTGCGAACAGACGCTATCTGGTAATTCCACTAACTGACAACGCTAGTGACACTGATACAGTGATCAGTAATAATATTGTACACTGACACTGTACTAATAATACTGACTGGGAAGGGATTATTATTATTATACAGTATTTATAA